GAGGCTAGGCTCTGCCCAGGCGGTCTCCGTACTCTGGACACAGAGCGCGGGAGACCTGTGCAGGGAGAGACTGACCAGAAGCGGGCAGGCAGGCAATGGGACACACCAATCCCTGTCTTCTGTCTCCTTAATTACACAGGTGGAGATAACGCGCAGGAATGGGAACAGTTCCTATCTCAGCTCTGCTCTCTAGGCTGGGACAGAGACTTTGGAGCCCAGGGCAGGGCTCCGGGTCACAGGGGAGTGTGGAAGGCAATGTTTCTCTGCCTTAAGTCCACCAAGGGCAATCTCCCCTGTAGTACTGCCCTGTCCAGGCAGGGTCCACTCTCTGAGCACAGCAAGTGACGGTCCAATATCAAATTGGTGGAGCAGGGGCACATACCAGCACTCTCCCTGCACCTCCCCTCCACACCCCGAGCCCAAGTCAGCGCTGGAATGCCAAGTCAGCGCTGGAATGCCAAGTCAGCGCTGGAATCCAGGGGCGGGAGTGGTGCGGGAGGCGCAGGGGCAGGGAGGAGGGTCCTAAGGGATCAAGGAGTCTAACTTTGCACTCTCTGACCTCTCAGTGCTATCCCAAACCTCCTCTATATCCAAAGTCAAAGCCTCCTTCTGTGTAAACTCCCCTTAAGCTTGACCTGGGAGTGTTCTGCAGGGAGATGCCCGAGTGGGCTCTGGTTCCTGCTGCGCAGAGAGTGGTCGCTGGGCTCGGACCCTCCCCCTCCTTATACTGCGGCCACTGTGTGCTCTGGAGAACTCAGAGTGTTCCCTGCTCTAGTCTCCTCCCCCACACGGCTTTGTCCCACGTTGTCACTTCTCACCAACTTCAGGCACCTCCCGGCCTACGTGGGAGTGGAGCTCGGTGTAGGAGGGGTGTCTCTCAGCACCAGGTAGGGCTGGCACCACTGCCAGCCAGCAGCGGCTTAAACCATGCCTCACTCCCTCCCTGTTGTGTGCCTCCAAATCCCCACTTTTTGCGGAAGAATGATGGATTCACCTTTGCTTTAGGCTGTAAATGGTCTTATCCCTCCGTTTCCTGGTGGATGTCTGCAGGCTTGCGAAGCTGGTCTCGTGGAAGTGCAGATCGCTCGCGTGTGGCTATCCGCTTTCTTCACTTTTCGCTCTGGGAGCAGAGAGCCAGGAGGGCACCCCTACTCCGCCATTTTTTCTCCCCCCCCCTTGGAATATATTTGACTAAGGAGGTAAAAGACCTCTACAGGGAGAACTATGAAACACTGAAGCAAGAAATAGCAGAGGATGCAAACAAGTGGAAGAATATACCATGCTCATTGGTCGGCAGAATCAACATTGTTAAAATGTCTACACTACCCAAAGTGACCTACGGAGTCAATGCAATGCCTATCAAAATACCATCATCATTTTCCACAGATATAGAAAAAATAGTTTTATGCTTCATATGGAACCAGAGAAGACCCTGTATAGCAAAATCAATCCTAGGCAATAAAAACAAAATAGGAGGTATCAATTTACTAGATTTCAAACTATACTACAAAACTATAGTAATTAAAAGAGCTTGGGACTGGCATAAGAACAGGGACATTGACCAGTGGAACAGAACAGAGAACCCAGAGATAAAAACCATCCTCATATAGCCAACGAATCTTCGACAAAGCAGACAAAAATGTACACTGGGGTAAAGAATCCTTATTCAATAAATGGTGCTGGGGAAACTGGATAGCCACATGTAGAAGACTGAAACAGGACCCACACCTTTCACCTCTCACAAAAATCAACTCACGCTGGATAACAGACTTGAACATTAGGTGTGAAACTATTGGAATTCTAGAGGAAAACGTTGGAAATACTGTTCTAGACATTGTCCTAGGCAAAGAGTTTATGAAGAAGTCCCCAAAGGCAATCACAGCAGCAACAAAAATAAAGAAATGGGATCTGATCAAATTAGAAAGCTTCTGCACAGCCAAAGAAACTGTCAAGAGAGCAAACAGACAACCCCCAGAATGGGAGAATATTTTGCAAGCTACACAACTGATAAACGGCTGATAACTAGAATTTATTTAGAACTCAGGAAAATCAGCAAGGAGAAGTCAAACGACCCTATCAAAAAGTGGGCAAAGAACATGAACAGAACTTTTTCAAAAGAAGACAGAATAAAGGCCAACAAACATATGAAAAAATGCTCAACATTTCTAATCATCAGAGAAATGCAAATCAAATCTGCAATGAGATATCACTTATCTCCAGTAAGAATGGCCTTTATCAAAACGTCCCCAAACAATAGATGCTGGCATGGATGGGGAGAGATAGGAACACTCCTACACTGCTGTGGGTACTGCTAACTGGTTCAACCTCTGTGGAAAGCAATATGGAGCTACCTTAAAGCGATACAAGTAGATCTACCATTTGATCCAGCAATTCCACTACTGGGCATCTACCCGAAAGAGCAAATGACACTCTACAAATGGGACGCCTGCACTCGAATGTTTATACCAGCACAGTTCACAATCTGAAAGTTGTGGAAACAACCCAGGTCCCATCAGTACATGAGTGGATTAATAAAATGTGGTATATGTATACCATGGAGTACTATTCAGCTTTAAGAAACAAGGATGATATAGCACCTCTTGTATTTTCCTGGATAGAGCTAGAACCCATTGTACTAAGTGAAGTATCCCAAGAATGGAAAAATAAGCACCACATGTACTCACCAGCAAATTGGTATTAACGGATCAACACCTAAGTGGACACATAGGAATAACTTTTATCGGGTGTCAGGCGGGTGGGAGGGGGAGGAGGGGATGGGTATATACAAACATAATGAGTAAGATGTGCAACGTTTGGGGGATGGACATGCTTGAAGCTCTGACTCGAGCGGGAAGGGGGGCAATATATGTAACCTTAACATTTGTACCCCTATAATATACTGAAATAATAAAAAAAAAATGGAAAAAAATAAATGAAAGAGCAAGGCACAGGCTGAGGGAAGGATTCTGGGGTGTGTGTGTGGCTATTTTCACAGTTGCGGAAGGCCACGGCTGCTTCCAGGAGACACGGGGAGTCCTTCACTGAGTGAGAGTCTGTTTTTTTCCAGAGATACCTGGGTCGTACTTCTTTACAAGCCGAGCACTCTCTGGGTCGCAGCGTAACATGGATTCCTGGCTGCACTCTGGTCGTGCAGTAGCTCCCCCCCTCCCCCCGCAGTGGCAGTGTGATTGTCTAGCACGGACTCTTAGAGGACCGGTCAGAGATCATGGGCACTCACGCCCTCTGCCGCGCTTAGAACATTGTGATTCTCCGTAAATAATCTGGAGCATGGTGTTGGTGTGTTGTTTTGAGCCGTCACAAAGAGTTTCCCAACCTGTATTTGCTACCTCAAAGTGAGCGTGTCTGTTTCCTGGCGCAGACGCTTGCGCCCCGCTGCAGGGTCGGGACGCTCTGCTTAGTGAGGGCCCCATCCCCGCAGGTGTCTGCTCTGCGGGGCTTTGTGGGTGCTTGTCACCCGAAAGCCACATGCCTCTAGCACAGTCAACTACAGCATGGCGGGGCTTGGGAGGTCAACATCAAGCAGAGAAGTAACAGGGCACACGGCCAGTGACCACCAGAGCTCCTGGCAGTGCACCTGGCCTGGACACGCTGTGGAAAGGGCTCTGGAGACACCCTGGGCACGCTCTGCGGAAAAAGGGTTCAGGAAACTGTGGGCAGCAATTAGGCAGCGGGACCTTCCTGGTGGCAGACAGCTTGTTAGAGATGGCGAGTCTAGAACCCAGCACCTGCTGCTCAGACGCGCCCCGGCTGACAGGAGCTCGCACCTGCCCCACTGGCTAAGCTCTCCAGGGGAATGGGACTTCCGAGTTGCCTTCCTTCCGTATCCACGTGACTCTGGGACCCTGACCTTGCAATCCGAGCACCGTGGGCGCAGCACGCAGGGCAGCAGAGGCGGGCGGACCCACGGGACTTGCCCTGATCGCGGAGGCCCCGGGCTGCAGCGGGGAGGCCTGTGTTCCGTGCCAGCCTAAGGCCTTCGCCGAGGCGCCAAAAGCTGTGTCTATTCCTGGGCTTTCATCTGAGCCGAGAATGAGATTCCTTTTGTTTGTTCCAAGTTTGTGAAATGTAGCCTTATTTTTTTCCTTCTTTAAGTGTTACTTTTATCAAAATTTTTACATGCACCCAACTTAAAGGCCAGATACTTTCCAGTGCTTGCCACAGAGCTGGCTGCTCTCCTTCCTTCCCGCCCTGGCCCTGCGGCTCGCAGTGTGGCCCTTTGGACTGGTTCTTTTGGTGATGACCTCTGTATTATTAAATAACGCGCTTATGCTTGCTACTTCTTAATGTGTCTGTCTGAATTCCCACTACAAAAGATCAAGGTTCAATTTTCTTTTACCTTCATCCCCTCCCACCATCCCACTGCTTCTCTCCACCTCCCACCACGCTGCCTCCGAATTCGGTTTTGCTTAAATTTGCCTTTACGTTGTTACGACTCTGCAGATGCTGCTCAGAAACATCAGCATCCTGCGCATTTTCGCTGTAGCGCAAGCGTCTCCTGGAGGGTTCTGACTCCTCCCGCCGCGGTCGTGCGGTTATATTCGAGCCCTTCCCCTCGCCGCCGCTCTGGGGATGCCGCGCCCCTCGCCTGCGGCCCAGCCTGTTTTCTTGCAGGCCACATCTTTCTCTTGCTCAGTTTCTTCCTTTATTTTATGTGTGCCTCTTTTTTAACACACAGCCTGTTGTAGCTTTCTAAGAAAAAGTGGATGGCAGATACAATTTTTAAGACCTTGCATGTCTGAAGATACTCTCACACTTGATGTTAAATTGTCTGGGGGTGGAATTCTAGGTTCAAAGTGATTTTCCTTCCCAGCTAGAAAGGCAATGCCCCACTGCCTTCTAGACGTGGTGCTAGGGGTGGAGATGCCTGACCCTGATTCTTGGCCTGTGATCTATTCTTTTCTTGTGGGCAATTGTAGAATCTTCTCTTTGTCTCCAGCATTCCAGAATTTTATGGTGATACACGGTAGAGTCTCCTTGTATCCTTGTTCTGGACACTAAATGGAGCCTTTTGGTCTGAATATTCATGCCTTCTATTCTGGAAACTATTCCTGAAGTTTATTTCTTTGACGATTTCCTCTACCATGTGGTTTGTTTCCTCTTTGGTAATTTTTATTATTCATATATTAACTTCTTAGAGATCTAATTTTCTTATGTTTTCTCCCCCTTCCATATTTTTCTTTGCTATTTTCCTCTGTTTTCTGGGATATTTTCTCAAATTTATCTCCCAAATCTTTAATTTCATCATTTCTGTGATTATATTTTTAAATTCTACTACAACTTCTTTTTGGTGGGGGGAGTGTTCTCTATTCGTTTTCTATAGTGGCATTTCTTATTTCATGGATGTAGTATCTTTCCTCTTCCTTGCATAGTCTGTTTTCCCCAAGTTGCTTTCCCGTTTGTTTGTATCTCTGTATTTTATCTTAGCAGTTTCTTCAACACCGGCAATTTCCTCCGATGCCCCCCTCTTCTGCCTGCGTTGTCATGATCATCTCTGAGCTGACCCACCAGCTTTGGTCTTTCGCACCCTCTAGCCCAGGTGGCATGACCTGTGACACCCACCTTTCTTAAGTATTCCATTCACCATGTTATTCTGCTGGTGAAAAGCCTTCCACGGCTCCCTATTTCCCACTTCATCAGACATAAACTCTGCCATTTCCAACATTTTCAAACTCTGACCCATCTCAGGCTACGCACCACACCTCTTGTGTTCAAAGTTGGTGATTAGACAATAACAGTACTAATCTGCTAAAAGTAATAGTAATCAACGATGATCAAGGCTTTATACATCTTATTCACAGAAGTTATTGACTTCTGATGGCTCTGCGATGCTCACATCGTCATACCCATCTCCCGGATAAAGAAACGCTGGCTGCAATGGCGCACGTAGCTCAGGACAATACCTGGTCAGGAGCAAAGGGGTCCAGACTGGGTCTCAGTGCTCTGTCCACCATGGTGTACACTGGACACTCAGGCGGTTTTCCTGGGTGACAAGGCTTCCTCAAGGCCACCTGCAGGTAAGTGGCACTGCCGGATCCATTGCCTGGGAGCTCCCCTGTGCTTCTGCCAAGCCCCAGGCCCTCTCCTCACGTGCTAATCTGCTGTGCACACTTTGTACTTCACTCATAAAGTGTGTGAAAGCCTTCCCTACTCCGGTGCCAGGGCTGATGGGAACTGCTCACAATCTTCCAGGACCATCCAACCTGGCCTCCTGCCTTTTTTCCATATAATTTTTAATAAGCCAGTAATATCCCTCCATGCACTGCAGACCTCTGGCTTGGACTAAGAAACCTGGAATTGTTTAAGAGAACATTGATTTCCTTTGAGCTAGGATTACAGGCCGTCTAGAACTTCTTAATGAATGGCCACACTGCCTTTTTGAAACATTTGTATCTGCCAATGCAGATTTGAAGGTTAACATTAAATGTTGTGAGTTGTCCTTTCTGGAAATTAGGGCCTTCTAGAAGTTTTCCTGGTGCTCTGTCATGTCTCTGGGGAGACTCCTGGACTGCTCTGTTCATAGTCCTCCCTGCATGTGCTCCCCAACATCTTACTCTTCTATTTTATGGGTTTGGGGTTACTGAAACCTTTAAGATTTAATCCCACCACTTTCTTGAAGATAAAATCAAGTTCAAACCCTGCTTTATTTTATTTTTCGATTTCTTTTCTCTTGGACTAAAGTAGTGAGGAAACTACTTGCGCAAAACCCAGACAACCCAGTTTGGAGCTGATGCTAATCGGCTGGAAGGTGTCAAACAAAACACAGCTCCTCTGAGCCTCAGTGTCTTGATGAGGGTTAAACTCAGGATGCTTAACCTGTTCTGGCATTCTGTAAATAAGCCACTTGCTTCTGACTCACAGTTTCCATGGAATCAGAGGACTGAAGTGTCAATGAACCTCCCTTGATGTTCCCTTAAGACTCTAGGACCCTGCTGGGAGCCTTCCCCTGGCCCCCTTATCCAGGGAGGAAACATGAAGAATACTTGCTAAGAAGGACTGTCTCTGGGACTTTTATCTCCTGATTTCAAACACAGTGGTTCTGCTAAGCTGCACTTTTTTTTTGTCGTGAAAATGATTTTGTGAGAAAATGTAACCAGTGCAATTACACTGAACTTTCATAATATGAAATGTTAATAAAACGGATGTTTGACCAATAAAATCCTTGATGCCAAATTAAATGAGCCTGAAGGGAATACTGCTTTGGAGCAAACTTCATGGGAAACAGGATGAAAAAGAAAATAATATTTTTGAGCCACTATACAAATTTCCCCAGAAATAAAAATTCTGTATATAAATTGCAACATCTTTGGCTTGCCTGGAGGGAATCAGATGTCATAGCCAAAGATATGGATTCTAAGGACAAATTTCTTAGGTTCAAATCACAACTTTGCCAGGTCTTGTCTGTGAGCCTTGGGCAAGCTACTTAACTTCTCTGTGCTGCCAATTCCCTGTCTATAAGTTGGGGGCTAATGAGAATACTTTCCCCATAGTGTTATTTCGAGGGCTGCTTTTATGCACGTGACTCAGTCAGTCGGTGATGCCTGGCACACAGGAAGTGTTCGGTTTGAAATAGCCCTCATTGCTAGCAAGTCACGGACTTGCAATGGAAATGGCACTTACAAGATTATGCATTGACATCCTTGCTCTGGGCACAAGGTTTCCTCCCCTACTTTACTGAGAGGGCATCTGGGACCTTGAACTATTAGAGGATTTTCCCAGTGCTGCTTGCAGAGGAACATTAGCATTCAGGCCCAGTGACCTTCAGACTCCACAAGGCCGCTCCTTTGTGGAGCAACAAAGTGATGATTATCCGGAACTCTCGGAAGAAATATTATGGTTAATGTAATCTGGAAAAAAACCTATTATAGAGTCTCCGCCAGAGTAATTTAGGGTAATGGCTGCAAAAAGTTCTGAACAAAGATACCTAGAAAGTTCACAAATATTGGAAACTGAGCAATTATACTTTGAAATGTCAAAACAATTTAAAAAAAATTTAGAAAATCCAAATAATGTAAGTGAATATCAAAAATGTGAGATGCAGTTAAAGGTATACTTAGAGTGGGATTTTTAGACTTAAGTGCACACAGTGGAAAAGAAGAAAGGTTGGAAATCCAAGCACCGGTAACAGGCAGGGCCCTGCTCGGACTCTCCCCTTCCAGCCCCAAGCCCTCATGCCGGCACCTCTCACAGAGTCCTTTCTGGGAAATTGTCCGTGGCTGATGACAGCCCCTTGCCCAGGACACATCCTCTTCTCAGGGAGGCCCACATCTAATAGGCAGGTGGAGGGGCGTGATCGCTTGGTCCCCGACTCAGTCATATGGTGGGACTTCCTGGAGGTGACCAATGCACTGGGAGGCCAATGCACTGACAGACTTTCACTCCGCACGTTTCCTGAGAGGAGGGCAGGCTGTGCTGCACAGTGCTGTGGGGAGCACCTGAGAGGAGGGCAGGCTGTGCTGCCCAGCACTGTGGGGAGCATCTGAGAGGAGGGCAGGGTGTGCTGCACAGTGCTGCGGGGAGCACCTGAGAGGAGGGCAGGCTGTGCTGCGCAGCACTGTGGGGAGCACCTGAGAGGAGGGCAGGCTGTGCTGCACAGTGCTGTGGGGAGCACCTGAGAGGAGGGCAGGCTGTGCTGCACAGTGCTGTGGGGTGCACCAGGCTTGGTCAGGGGGCAGAGCAGGGAGGAGGGCAAGGTCCAGCCAGAGCCTCTTCTGGACGTTTTGCAGGCCTTGTCCAGTTTGATTAACTCTAGCAGGCTTTGGGGCACAGGTCTGTCCTTGATTTTGGGCAGGAAATCTCTGCTCGTGTGTGAGTTAGCCAGGGAGGTGGCTCAGAATGAGCTGGATCACAGGGGATTGGGGAATAACCCTGGCGTTAGTTTGGCTTGTGACTAATGGACAGCAAATGCGCTGATACAGAATCTCAGAAAACACAGAGCACCCCTTGTCCCAGAGCACATCTCAGCACCAGGGCTTGTCCCGCTTGGCAGAAACCCTTTCTGTGGCTGCCTTGCAATTCAGCTTCTCCTCTGCCCAGTCACGCTTGTTTTCCTGCCTTACAGAGACTGATCCCACAGGCACTTCTTGGACCCAAACCTCAGTCTTAAAGTTTGTTTGGAGAGAGCCCGTTCTGCAACAGTGTTCAGCTAAGGGAGTTAGTGTCTCTGCGTGGGCTGCTGCTGCACAACGCCGTAGCCTGCATGACGTAGACACAGCAGGGATTTCTTTCTCGCAGTTCTGGAGGCTGGCACGTCCAAGACCAAGGAGCCAGCAGGTTCAGCGCCTGTGAAGCCCGCTTCCTGGTCCACGGACAGTGCCTTTGTGCTTGTCCTCCCACGGTGGGAGGCGTGAACGAGCCCTCTGGGGCCTCTTTTATTAGGGCACTAGGCCCATGCCGGGGGCCCCATCCTCATGACCTGACCACCCACCAAAGGCCCCACCTCCAAACACCATAACCTTCGGGGTTAGGATTTCAACACATGGGCGTACACAAACATGTAGACTACTGCAGGTAAAGGATAGAAAAATAAGCACAGATGATGTAAAAGGAAGGAAATAATAAAGGTAACAGTAGAAATTACTAAAATAGGGAATAAACGTGCAATAGAAACAATAAAGCCAAAATCTGAGATTTGGATAAGCTGACAGAATTCCTGGCCCACAGGAGGACTTCATGAACACTGGGCTCTGCCCCAGCGCCCAGCACCCCCAGGCCGATGCAGGCCGAGGCCCTGCCGACGCTCAGGAGACGGGAGGAGGACGCAACCTGATGCTGAGCAATCGCCAGCACCCCTTCAAGGGGTTGGGTGTAGACAGAGCTTTTTAACCAGTTTCTTCTGACTGCGACGAGCAGAGACCCGGCGGGCCCTCACAAGCACCAAAGGGGACTTGGGATGAGGGGGCGGGGAGGGCGTCCCATGCAAACAGCAGGTAGGAAGCACTTGCTCTCAGAATAAGGTTAGCAGGGGTTTTCACCCTAGAGGCTACAGATGCCCAAGGATTGTGCCTAGAATTCAAGAGGCCCTTGAACTTGATTTGAATTAAAAAAATTATATCTTTAGTTTTATTAATCTCAGCTTGAAATTTAGCATTTCCTTTGTGCATGTAGACAACAAACCAAAGCAGTATTAGCAATACCTGTGAATTTGTCACAGATAGAAATCACAGGTACTCCACACCCCATGTGGCCATTGCCATCTGTGCCAGCCGCTACCCCCGGGCTAGGGCCTCACACCTGAGGCCAGGCAGTGTCTTTCAGCGTGCTGCTAAAGCAGCCTGGATAGAGCTGTCTACAAACGTGCCTTTAAAAATATTTTGGTAATTGGTATTACCAAATTGGTAAATATTACCAATTGGTAATTGGTAAATATTTGGTATTTAGCATAATTGCTTTCCTTGGCGATCCTTTTGGTTTGATTTTATATGTTATCTTTTTCTTGCCTGGACAGAGTCCCTAGGCTTCCGCAGGCTATTGCAGAGCCCGCGACTCGCAGGGAAGAACCCGTCACGCTCTGTCCGCGGCTTCTCTTGCGGACTGACTTCCTGGTCTCTCTCGAGACTGCAGACAGACTGCTGTGCTTCTCAGCTCGCACGGTGAAAGGGTCTGCTGGGAGCTAAGCTGAGCACTTCCCCTCATGTGGTCCCTGCGTCCACTCTGTAAGGCGAGCTCTGCGACCTGCGTCCCTATTTGAGATGAGCAAATGGCGACACGGGACAACTTGTGTACCTCCGGGTGGTGCGGGTGGGATTCACTCTCCAGGCCAGGCCAGAGCATGCATGGACCCCCAGGGCGTGGGAAAGGCATCCTCTGGCTGCAGCCCGAGAAGGGCACTGACCTCTGGGAGACACTCGCATGCCTCTTCTGGATCCGACCCAGCGTGGGTTCTCTGCATGGAGTCCTTGCTGTGTCCCCACCCTTGTGATCTGGTGCTGGGGCGGAGAGACGAGACAGCCACGGCCTTGCCATGTGGAACTCGGGACTAGGAGACAGCAGCCACAGAGCTGCGAGACATGCTGGGGACGCAGTCTCCGTGAGCCCCAGAAGGAAGCAGCCTGGTTACCTTCTTGGGTTTGTGCTTCTGGCCTCCAGAATGGTGAGAAAATGTACTTCTATTGTTCTTAAGCCACCAGGTTTGTGGCACTTTGTTGCAGTAGCCTGGGAGCGAGTGCAGCTGCTCCCAGCCTTCCCTGAGAGGCCCGCCCCGCCAGCCGTCCTGCTGGCCGCCCCCGTGCCCCACCAGGCCTCCCACCCAGCCCCTACACCCCGTAATTTCTCTCAGCTCCTGGATCCAGGACAGGTTCCACAACTGGCAAGGCCCAGGGCAAAATAAAAACATGGAGTCCCTGTTATTAGTTAAATAATTAAAATTATTTCGGATTTCAAGATGGGAGCATTAAACCAAGCTGGGCCCCTCTGTGCAGGCGCCCTGTGTGCAGGTGACGTGCCGGGAGCACGCGACACCATCTGATGCCACGCGGGGCTGATTTCTTTACCGTGTTTGTTCGGTGTTATCTGTTTCATTCCCCAAGTATGTAAACTCACAGATCGTCACATCCCAATCCTTTAGGGAGCTTGACACGCACAGTCGGCGCTCAATAAACGTGCGTTAGTGATCGGCCAGGAGGCAATCAGTGGCACCGTTCTCATCCCTGGCCAAGGTCCAAGATTGGAGCCCGGGTCTGCCTGTCCCCAAGCCTGAGCGCTGCCCTCCTCCCAGCACAGCGCAGAGCGCAAAGCAGGCATGCCACCAACACTAGCTGCTTAGGTTGGGACCTGAGAGCTGCTCGGCACCTCTGGCCTCAGCTTCCTCATCTGGCAAATGGGGTAATCGTAGTATCTACCTCTTGAGACTGTTTGGCAAGTAAGTGCCATGATACATGGAAGCACTAAGAACAGTCCTGGAGGCCTGCGGGCTCCTGTCACTGCTGTCGTCTGGATAGTCTGTGCCCGTGAGCGCCCGTGGACAGGATGGGGCGGGGGGCGTGGTTGTGGTAGGGCTGTGGTTAGTATTTCCCACGGTGTTTGTGGGACAACTGAAAGAGAAAAGGGGAGAGGACAGAACATAACTCACGTCAGGAA